AGCTTTAGGGCTGGGTGGGGATGTGTTGTATTCGAGGGATGCCTGAAGTGGATTTAATCTGAAATTGTGACTGAACCCTAGTTACCCCTTCTTTTATATTAAACACCAGGGCCGAGGTCCCACTAGCAAAAAGGATAGGATCGAGCTCCTGAATCTGGACGTGTTTTAAGCAGAGATGCAAAAAAGCAGCTCAATCTCGATTTCCTGCACATCTCCATAAACTCGTCCAGATTCAGGCATTCTATCCGATCCTCTTTGCTAGTGGGACCACGCCCCAGTCTATCAGATGTAACTGCTCATCCGTTCTCTCTCCCTCTCTGAGCAAAATGAATAAAATTGCCACCAAGGCCAGAAAAACCGAACAAACCAAAAATCTAGACCAAGCTCCTAAGAAGTCTTGAACAGTCCTAGCCACCTCTAATCAAGCTCCCTTGGCTCCACCATTCCCCCTTCTACTTCCCCTTCATTACTTTCCTAGTGTCTTACTAAACCGTCTATCTTCGACGGTGTCTAGACTGCACTCCATCCTCTATCCTTCCCGCTGCCTGTCTCCTGCGACTGTTCCATCCCCCGCCAACCGAGTGCTCAGGTCTCTGGACCTCTCTTTTTCCTACCTCAACTCCTTTGTGAACCAATCCCCAACTATCACTTTTCCTTCTACAATCTTAGCCATCTTCTCATCGATCCCCCATGTCTCCTGAAACCATTTCCTCCCTGCCTCGCTATTTCCGCTTTTTGTTACCTTTCGCCTCCAGTCCACCAACACAGCTCTTCTTAGCAGTTGTGCGAAAGTCGATCGCATCTGCTTATTCGTCCACTCCTGCCTTTGAATACTTTGTCGTTCCTTTCCTGCCAAATCACGGCGCACCCTACCGCTCGTGCCACTTGTGCCACATAGCCCCAGCCTTTCGATATCATGAAGTTGTCATGGATCCCGCCTAGTAACATCCATGTCTTGGACCAGGGGAACGAGTCATTTGTACATTCCACCCAAAACTTCTCCCACCAACTCCAGATTCTGGCCGATGCTGGACAGTTCCACCATAGGTGGACTGTTGACTCAAACGCCCATTGGCATCTCGAGCACGTCAGGTCAACTTTAACCCCGTGTTCCGTCAACCACACTGCTGATGGTGTCGCCACCATTGACAACAGCCATAGCGTAGAGGCCTGCCTCTGGCTGGGGATCAGTTTTAGCTGCTCCCAGCACTTCTTCAGTGCTTCCCCAATCTGTTCTGGCTCCAGCTCCAATACACGCATCCACCTCGCCCTTGCCACTGTTTCCGGGTGCTTCAGCGGTATAAACAGCTTATACCCCAACCTGTGTGTGTAATTTAACAGACTTACACTCTCTCCTCCTCTTCCCTGTGCACGCCATTCCCACATTCCCGGATCCGTTCTTATCACTGAGATAGGCTTCCCTTCTGCAAACAACACCCTTGGGACCGAACCTTCCGAGATAACCCGCACTTGATACAACGCCAATCTAAGAACTGGAATTCCGTCCTCTTGTTCTGTGATTCTTTGCCCCCCCTTTCTCATTTCCCAGCCTTGGACGATCCTTTTCCCATCGGGTTGGATCTCCAGGAGTTCCCACAGTTTTCGATCATCCTGAGTCTCTTGAATGTACCAAGTTCCAGGGGGGTCAACTGCATCGGGTGCTAGGAGTTGCTTCCATTCTTCCAGAATGGCACTGATAACCAAAGCAAGCTTATCTTCCACCTGCCTCATCTGCCCCAGTTTGGCTTTCACTTCCTCGGTTGTCTGCCATTTCTCTGCGAAGGCATTCCAGATATCTCTAATTCTTACTATCCCTCTCTCTATCCACTTTCTGCCCGTACTCTGCGGCTCTGCACCCAGCCACCGATCGTCGACTTCTCTAATTCTCGGATTTTCAAAGATTGGCTGCTGGAGCACTTCACCCTTTGTACTAGGCTCCACCCATACATCCGGTCTTAGCGTCTTCCATGCCTGTAACATTGCTCTCCAGAGCGGTGAGTTGATCCTTCTTCTCTGGTACGAGTACAAGAATACACAAATCCAAACATCCTTTGTCCTTGCCAGGTTCCATTCGTCTGCCAGAATTTTCTCTGCCAAGTTTACCCGGTGGGGGACTGGGTCCTCGAGGCAAGCTCTCGCCACCCACTTCACCAACATCGCCTCGTTCTGCTTTGCAGGGTCACGTATCCCTAGACCTCCCTCTTTTCTGGGGAGGCGGCACATCATTTCCCATGCCACCTTGGTGATAAAATTCTCCTCTTCCTTGGCGAAAGGCTTCCAAATAAACCTCGCTGCCTTCCTCCTTAACTGTTTGCAGGTTTGATCCCCAATCTTTCTAACAGTACCCACAAACCACAACAGAGCAAGCAGCGCTCCGTTCACCACCAATGCTCTTCCAAAGATCGAGAGGTGCGGCGCCTTCCCCCATGTTACTAACCTCTGGAGGGATTTCTGAAGAAGAATGTCGTCTTGTTCTGCTGTGCAGACCATCAGCACTATCTGCACGCCCAGGAACCTTTCTGACTTATCCTGTTTCACCCGTTTCATGCCCCATTCTGTACCAGCTCCAGCGACTCCGGAAGCAGATAGACTGATTTATGCCAGTTAATAGCCGCCTCCAACAGTAGTGAGAACTCATCCAAGCAGTCCTTCAATGCTGTTAGTAATTCTACTGAGTTTTCCGAGACAGCGAACAGGTCGTCCGCTAGGGCCTTCACCTTATAGGACGTTGGCCCCGTCGCCATACCTCTAATCTGCGGGTGCTCCCTGATGTTATTCAACACTATTGTAACATCGAATTGAACCGCGAATAGGAGGGGCGCAAGCGGGCATCCCTGCCATAGAGACCTTGTCAGGTTGAATTCCTCTGACAGTCGACCATTGACTATGACTGCTGCTGTGGATAATGTGTACAGTGTCTTTACCCAACAGATAAAGTTCCTCCCAAACCCCATCCATTGCAGAGTGGAAAGGACGTACGACCAGCTCACTCCGTCGTACGCCTTCTCCAAGTCTAACAATAGCACTGCCACATTCATCTCTTCCCTCTGTACTACCTCCAGAGTCTGAATTGCCGTAATAATATTATCAAAAGTTGACCTTCCTCTAATGAAGGCAGCTTGGTCCCCTTTTACTAAGTTAGGGAGATACTTACTCAATCTGCAGGTCAGTACTTTGGCAAGAATCTTATAAGAAACGTTCAGTAGAGATACTGACCTCCAATTCCTGATTTTCGTACTGTCACCTTTTTTAAACAGTATCGAAATAACCCCACTGCACATGCCTCTAGACAGTCTCCCTCCCATCAGGATATTGTTATATATCTCCACCAAATGGTCCCCCATCGTTTCCCACTGGTCTGTATACCATTCCGTTGGCAGTCCGTCATTCCCTGACGCCTTCCCTTTGGACATATTCCTCAAGGCTTCCTGTGCCTCCTCGTTCGTGACTGGTCTATCCAGATCCAGTCTCCCTACGTCTGAGAGTCTAACCTTTGTGTTTGCCCAATCTGAGTTCCCTTCGTACAGGTGTGTCACAACCTCAGCCCCTTGGGTTCGGGATGTCAAGATGTCCTTGTAATATATTGCTGCGTAATTGCACAGGTCCACTAGTTATGTCGTTGTTCTTTCATCCTTGTCAAAGGGATGCTGCAGCTCAATCATTGACGCAAAGGTACAACTCGGTGTCATCTTCTGGAACGTCTCTCGGATCATTCAGTCATACACCGCTACTCTCTTTATTCTAAGTTTGTCCGACCACATCTCAGACATCTTGATTTAAGTCTCCTCCCACTCCTTCATCAGCACTGCCCGTTCCTTCCCCCATACCAAGTTGGAGACTGGGTGTTCGCCCATTCTCTTCTCGGCGTACATAATCTTCTTCTTTATCTCCCTCTCGTGCCGGTCTCTGTTGTATGCCAGTATCCGCGAGACAACATTCAGCAGGTTTGCGAGCAGGGCTGTACCCCCGTCCCACCATTACTCCCGAGACCCATAACAACCCCTAACTTTCTCCCAGTCTCCCAAAAACTCTCTCATTCATTTCTGCAATCCCGGGTCTTCTAGGTTCTGCGTATTGAGCCTAAACAGACCTTTTCCGCTCCTTGTCTCCTGGCTGGTCAGGGTTAGGAGCACTGGCTTATGATCTGAGAGGGGGAAGTCCATCTCCCCTACTCTCACTACTAAGTTCCATAGTGACGCTGAGATCAGATAATAGTCCAACCTTCGTCTAATTGTTTCCGGTCTCGGATTCGAATGCCATGTGAAACCTTCTTCATCTGGATGCATCAGTCTAAATGGATCAACCAACTCGAATTCCATCATCAAATTGACCAACGAATCACGATCCGCTGAACTATTTTGCCTTGTCTCAGTATAATCTAAGGACAAATTCCAGTCTCCCGTAATGATCACTCAATCACAGTCCGGTACCACTAATGCCAGCTCTTTAATAAAACTAATCTGGTCTCTCTGATCCGTAGGAACATAAACGGTTGCTATTATCCACTCTTCCCCTGCTATTTCCAGCTTTACCCATGCCCAGCGTCCCCAAAGATCCGCATAAAAGTCTATGATCGTAGCCTCCAATCTTCGATGTATCAGGATCCTGACTCCTCCCCTTGTCTCCTGAGCCGGGGACCACAACTGGGGACCGTCCCACCATGTTCCGAACACGTTGATCTTATCCTCCCCTAGCTTCGTCTCCTGAAGGCATGTGACTTGGACACCTTTTTCGTGGATCCAAGCCTTCAATCTCTCTTTTTTGAATTTGCCTGCGCTATCCCCCAGTCCCCATACGTTCCACGTTGCTTCCTTCAGGTTGCCCATCTTTGCTCCTCGTTACCTCTCATACCTGACCCGATCTCTGCAAGTGGATCGACCTCTGTGATGTATTTGGAACTGTGAGCCACGACTTCATCAGATGAGTCCTCATGAATGGTGGCAACAACTTCTTTTCGTTCGGCAGCTTTCTTTCAATATCGATCAACAACTCTGCAGATTTCAGTGGGGGAATCTTTATCTTACTCAGCTTCTGTTTCCTCCTTTCTATGATCCATGTCACCGGGCAGAGCCTCATCCCCTCCCTTTCCATCGTCTCTATTTGTCCCTCCACAAACCGAACATTCAGAAGTGGCACGAATAACTTAATCTTCTTGCCATTCTCCGGGTTGTCTGCTAGTATCCTTGGCATCAATAGGTCAGCTATCAGTCGAAACACCGATGTGTCTGCCACCGCCTTTGCTCACCATATTCGCCATCGCCGTTGGCATCGGGGACTCTGGAGATTGAAGCGAAAGGAGATGCATGCTGCCATCCTGTGCTGTCCAAGTGATGAAGAAGGTCTCGTTCCTGATTAGCGTGCAGAATAATGGGAGAATCTTCGGCTCTATTCCGTCTTGTTGGCCTCTCGCCACCGCCACCGGGATCCGTCTTCTTGTTGTTTTCATCCCTCGTGTGATGATTTCCCTGATCCGCCCCTGTGAACCCTCGGACTCCGTTGAGCTCGACTTCTCTCTTCTGATGCCATGCAGATCCGAAGTGGCACTGTCTTCGTGGCGTAACCGCCTGTGCTTTCCTGGCATGCCTCCTGTGCCTCTGTTTTCGCTCGTAGCTTCCCTGACCGAGCTTCGGCTTGTGCCCTGATTCCCTCCTCTGCTGTCCTGTGAACCGTCTCCTTGTCCTCCTAGACCATATTGCGATGCGGCTGCACCTCTTGCTCCAACCATTGCATGCATTGCCCCTCCTCCTTGAGCGTTCCCTCCCATCTGCCCACCATACGTGTATCCTCCCAATTCCTCTCGAGGGAACATTGGGATGCCATACCCGCCTGGTTGGAGTAAGTGGTTAAATGCTCCTAGGCCTGGCCACGGGCCAAAAGCCGATAAATTATTCGGCAACCCCGAGCTTGTCGTCGGCATTCCTCAAGACAATCCTGGCATACCCATTGGAGACGGCCCCGACTGGAAGAACTGCTGCCTCCTTAGCCCGTCAGGTGAGTATGTTGCGTTGTAGTAATTATTTCCCGCTCCATGCATCGGCAGCTCTCTTGATCGCTTCGGTCCTGGTTCGGGTTGACTCAGCCTGGGGCGTAGTGGCCCAGAATATTGCGGTTGCGTTGCTGAAGCTTCCGGTCTTAGCTCTTGTCTTCCTTGCGATGCGCCCTGTTGCGGTTGTCTATTCCTCCAGCACTTGCTCTCCTCGTGGAAGAAGGCCCTACACCTCCTGCACCTTGGAGTCTGATGTCAGGTTGACTGTCAGTGTGTCACCTTCAAAGGTCACCACTAAAATTTTGTCCTTCATGTTTGGTCTCGCCGACGTCTCTAGATCAAACTTTAGGTTAATGAGAGCTGGTTTCTGTCGATCCTGCTCAGCTGGATGCGTGTTGATTATTGGACCAATTGCCTTGGCCACTTGAGCTTCCAGGTAGAACATAGCATCGAGCGGCACTTGCACCATAATCACCCAATTTTCAGGCCTGTAACTTCCACGGCGTATCCGGTAGTTATAGGCCTATAACTTCCACGGCGTATCCAGTAGTTATAGGCCTATAACTTTCACGGCGTAACCGGAAGGCATAGGCCTAAAACTTCCACGGCGTATCCGAGAGTTATGAGCCTATAACTTCCATGGCGTAACCGAGAGTTATAGGCCTATAACATTGATTGCGTCTTCCTCGCTTCCAGAAGTTTGACTCTTTGAGGTTGCAAGCCTGGAATGTTTTTTTCACATTTGCGTTGTTCTATTGCACTTGTCGTACGCAGTGTTGCTCTAAGTATGTATTATCGGCCTATAAGTTTCTCTGACACGACTTTCTGGAATCTGAACTTGGGTTTTTGCTCACACTTGTCCTTGCAATGTCCGCCTCGATCGCATTATGTGTATGACTGCTGAATGAATAGATGTATAAAGGCTATGCTTGCGTATCTATCTTTTTGCTGACAAATCCTTGCCCTTGCTCTTTGTTTGCGTCGTATCTTTACCTGCACCTGATGCAGCTGTAGATAGGATAAGAATTTGGCCCCGATAGCGATTCCGTTCTCGTTTTTGTTTGTCTCACGATTGGGTTGTGATATGATTGCATCTCACGTAATCAAAAATTACGGAACAATAAAACGATCCGGTGTCTGGCCCCGCGAACGCCGCGCGAGAACACGTGTAAACGCAATCCGAATCGCGCCATTACACGCGTCCCCGTGCGTCGATTCGCCCACCCAAAGGAAAAGATTTGCGGCGGAACCG